GTTTCTCTCACTCTCATCGTGCATAGATGTGACATTTCTTACTGTGAAATGAGAATGTGTTTAAGCTTTGTGCAGATGCCGATATTAAGTGGTTGTTGTGATAACGAGAAGCTGTTTGAAAGCCTTGAAGCAGCCAGCAGTTTTTCAGCTTTTTGTTGGTCTTGAGTGGGTATTGCAGCAAATGGCTTCCATTTCAGTGTGAAAGAGTTGATGAAATGTGGCCAGTTCTCAGCCACTCCCACCGAATGTGTTGGATACCATGTCTGGGATTTGAAGGATGCCTTTTAAGGAGCAAGAGAACACTGTGGTTCAGGTCACAGATGCCCATCCATAATGTTTTAAAAAGATATATTTTCCCTATTCGAATGGAGTTAGCATCTTGTTCCTCAATACATTTAACCAATGCCTTGAGATATCTCCAGGTTGTCCTCTAATTTATCTTAAAGTTTTGCTGCAACTGCAGCTTAGTGTCTTGTGGTGCAGTGATAGTGTCCCTACCTGTGAGCCAGGAGGTCTGGGTTCAAGTCCCACCTCTTCTAGAGGTGTGTCATAATATCCTTGAGCATGTCAATTAGAAAAATAAACCCATTGATTGATTTCAATCAATGAATCAAGATTGAGATCTGATCATAGTATCTCAATCCTCAGCAATCTTCAATGTTGTTCAGTGAGGATGTTAAATGAAGTGTTTTACCACCAAAATGATGTGCAATCTCTTTAATAAGCACAAATAAATTTAATTGTCAACAAGTTTCATAACAATCTTGTGAGTGACCACTGCTTGTCTCTCCTGCTTCATCTCCATACATATCAACATACAAATTAGGAGCTGAACTCCATGTTCCTGACCACCCTCATAACTTTCAAACCCTTTGTCAGTAAGGATCTATCTATATTAATGGCAAAATAATGCAGGCGGTGGAACTCTGAAACAAACACAGAGAGTGCTGAAGACACTCAGCTCGTCTGGCAGTATCTGTGGAGAGAGAAACAGTGTTGATGTTTTGAATCCAGTATGGTTCTTCTTCAGAAGGATCTATCTACCTCTGTCTTAAAACTACTTAATGACCCCACCTCCAATACTTTCTGGGGAAGAGAGTTCCAAAAACTTATGACTCAGAGAGAAAAATATTCTCCCCAAAGATCTCTTATTTTTAAGCTGTATCCCCTAGTTCTAGTCTGTCCCGTCCTCTCAGTATTGACTCTGTTAAGTCTTCTCAGGACTGTATCTGTTTCAATAAGATCACCCCTCATTCCACTAAACTCCAATGGATATAATTCCTACCTGTCCAAATTCTCCTCATTGGATAACCCCCTCAACACAGGTATCAGTCAAGTGGACCTTCTTTGAATGGCTCCAATAATTTATATCCTTTCTTAAAACTATATACAATGCTCCTCATTTGGTCTCACCTTCTAAAATTGTAGCAAAACAGCCCCACAATTCCATTTCCCTTGCAATAAACAACCTTCCATTTGCCATCCTAATCACTCGCTAGACTGACTTTCTAACACTCATGTACCAGGATACTCAGGTCCCTCTATACCTAAGAGTTCTGTAATCCCTACTTAATAGTAAACTGCCTTTTGATTCTTCCTGTCAAAGTGAACAAACTTCACACTTTTCCAAATTATACTCCATCTGCCAAATTTTTGCTTATGTATTAACTTGTCCAAATGCTTTCTCAGATTCCTTTTGCCCTCTTCACATCTTACTTTCCTACTTATCTTTGTATCATTATCAAAATTTGCAAACAAACCTGCATCTATGTCATTATCACATTTTGCCAAGTCAGAAATGATCCACTTAAGCCAGTGTTTCTTATTAGCTAACCAATGTTATCCAAGATCATCAACTCTTATTTTGCTTGGCAACATTTAATATGGCACTTTATCACTCTGGAATTCCAAGTTCACTCAGAAGGACCTTGGCGTGCATGTCCATCAGTTTCTAAAGTAGCAGGCATCGTGTTTAAGAGCAGAGAGGTTATGCTGAAACTGTATAAAAAGTTGGTTAGGCCACAACTAGACTATAATGTGTAGTTCTGGAATCCATATGAGAGGAAGGATGTGAATGTGCTGGAGAGGGTGCAGAGGAGATTTACCAGGATGCTTCCAAGACTGGAGAGTTTTAGTTATAAAGAGACTGGGATTACAAAAACAGAAATTATTGAAGAAACTCAGCATCTAGGCAAAGAAAGCAGAGTCATTGTTTCAGATCCAGCGACCCTGCAGCACTGGGGTTGTTTTCCTTGGGGGCTGACAAGATTGAGAGGGGACATGATTGAGATGTATAAAATTATGGGGGGCACAGATAGGGTAAACAGGAGAAACTTTTCCCCTTGTTGGAAGGATCAATGACTGGCAGCATTGATTTAAGGTAAGGGGTAGGAGGTTTACTGGAGATGAGAGGAAACTTTTTTTATCCAGAGGGTGGAAGGAATCTGGAGCTCACTGCCTGTGAGGGTGGTAGTGGCAGAAACCCTCAAAACATTTAAGAAGTATTTAGATGTACACTTGTGATGGCAAGGCATACAAGACTAAGGGCCAGGTGCTGGAAAATGGGATTAGAATAGTTACATGGTTATTTTTGATTGATGCAGACTCAATGGGCCAAACAGCCTTTTTCTATGCTGTAAATCTCTATGACTCTTGAACTTATGAAGAGCTTTGCCTTTACTTGCTTGTTGCTTCTTCAAAGAAGTCTAAAAAAAATTGTCAAACTTTTAGCAAACAATATATTTTGCAATTTCCCAATGTTAAATGTTGAGCTAACTGCTCTGTTTTTATGACTTTCTGTGACTCACTTTTCCTGAATAAAGTGTCACATTCATTATTTTGCAACTTGAAGGAACCTTTGCAGAAACTAGTGAATTTGGAAAATTAAAAGGCACCTATTACCTCAGCAGCCACTTCTCTGAGGATGAAGTTCATCAGAAACCTGATGATTTGGCAGCATTTCTCGTAATAATTGTCTCAGTGCTCTTTCCCTGGTGATTGCAGTTGTTTTAAGTTTCTACCTCCCCTTCACCTCTTGTTTCACAATTACTTTTTGGAATGTTATTCCTATCCTCTGCAGCAAAGGCAGATGCAAAATATCTACCACTGCATCACTACTGACCTGTCCTGTAGCCTAATGTCCCCTATTGCCATTATTTAAGTTCAGGTTTAAGTTTAAAACACTAGTCTTAGATCCAGTCTTCGCTCTGTCAAGGTGAATATGATATTCAATCATAATGATCACTGCTACATACGGATACCTTCACTATCAGTTCATTAACTAATCCTGTCTCACTGAAAGTTACTGGATCTAGTACAACCTGCTGTCTGGTTGGTTCTAGAACACACTGCTCTAAGAAACTGTCCCCATACCATTATACAAACTCATAAACTTCCTTTGCCAATCCAATTATTCAATCTATATGTAAATTAAAATCACTCACAAGTCCTCATTACTTTAACCTATAGACCACTTCCAAAAATGAGATTTCTGCATGGGAGTTTATATACCACTCCCATGGGCAACTTATTACCTTTGCTGTTTTTCATTTCTCCCCAAACTGATTCAACATCCTATCTCCAGAACTGAGATCATCGTTCTCTATCGCACCAATGTCATCCTTAATTGACAGTTGAAACCATTCACCTTTTCCTTGCCTCCTGCCCTTCCTAAATGTCAAGTACCCTTCAATATTTAAGTCCTAGTCTTTGTCATCTTGTAGCCATGTCTCTGTAAGGACTATCAGATCATACATATTTGCTTCAATTTGTGTTGTATTCTATTTTGTTACAAATACTGCATACATTCCGATACAGATCTTTTAGTGCTGTCAGTTTACCACTTTATCTAGCCTTATCTGGTAGTGCACTCTTAGATTTGAAATCTCAACAGCCTTTGAGCCACATATTTAATCCTCTAATCTAATTTACCCAATACCAATTTGCCGGTGGCTCAGGTAATAATGCAGAGATTTTTACATTTGAGATTCTGTATATTAGTTTTGACCCTAGTTACTTACACTCCCTCAGCAGAACCTCTTTACTAGTTCTATCTATATCATTCATACCTACATGGACCAGGACCATTGGGTCCTTCCCCTCTCACCGCAAGCTCCTTCCTAGCCCAGAGCAGATGTCCTGAACCCTGGTACAGGGCATCTTCACCACTGCCACCTGGACTCTCACTACAGTGAACTGTGTAGATATTCCAGCTATGATGTCTCCTCCTACTACAACATCCTATTAACTTTCCTCACTTCAGTGACTTCCTGTACCATGGAAACATGGTCAGTTTGATGATGCATCTATCCTCCAACCATTACTTTCACCTGGACAGGCTCCTTTACTAAGTTGGCACCTTATCAGGGATGGTACATGTGCAAATCACAGCTTGCCCAACTTGATGGTTCTTTATTGCCTGATCTCCTCAGCCAAAATTGCTCCCAAATGCCATTACACCTGGAAAAGCTGTCCATCTTCCCATTGGGGCCCAAAATGTAAAATAGAAATGATATTGCCCTGTCCCCTACACTTTTTTCTCTACATCCACCAATTCATTGATGACTCGGATAGGGCATACGTTAATGTGGCTCTGAATGATATTAATGAGAAGTGGACCTCCCCCAACTCAATGTGATCCTTGCAGATAATGCTGCAAACAGTAACCGTGGCAGTAGCTAGAGAGTCGGGAGGGTGGGTAATGACATGGAGAAAGCATTGAGGCTTAATAATTATACTGATCTGTACAGCTACAATTGGCTGATGAGTAAAGGTCTTTTGATTATAAAGAGGAAGACAATGGAATGCTGGAGCAAGGAAATAAGTGATTGGGACAACAACAATCATGAGTAATTCTTATATAATTTTAGTAATAGAGGATAATAAATGCAGGCAGAAGGATCCACAATCTATGGTATTAGTTAAATAAGCTTAACTGGATTACACTTGTGAGGAATTCCATGGCTTCTATCTAACACCTGCTACACATGTGGTTGTCAGATGCAGGAACAGGACTCTCCTGTTTCATTTGGTTTACTCTAAAGTTGGCAGCACCTTATGTGAGTGATTAAACGCAGCACTGAGGTGTGATTGGAATGTATTGGGATGGTTCAATTGGACACAGTTACTGTGTGAATATTTTATGCTCTGATATAGAACACTAAAAGCTACAGAGACATCAAGCAGACAAGACAGCATTGAGAGCTGTGTCCTTAGTGTGGAACCAGGAGACACTCACACATCACTCCGCAATTTGGTGATGTTCACGTAGTTGGGGTTTGGTAAAGTACAATTGTCAGTGTGAAGGTTATGTTCCGGGGGCTCCCGAACACCACCAACACCCTCCTGTGTCTCTGTGTACTCTGACTTGCATATACTAGAAGTGCTGTTACTCTTCTTCAGGTCAGTAGTGGATGGAATGTTTGGGCAGCTCTTCACATGTAGGTATTGGGCCTGCTCCTCGTTCTCTGTTTCTCGGTGATAGAAGTAGTTAAAGTTGGAGACAATGACGGGCACAGGGAGGGCGATGGTCAACACTCCAGCGATGGCACACAGGGAGCCAACCATCTTGCCACCTATGGTAATGGGGTACATGTCTCCATACCCGACTGTTGTCATGGAGACCACGGCCCACCAGAAGGCATCGGGGATGCTGTCAAAGTATGAAGCTGCTTCATCCGCCTCAGCAAAGTAGACAGCGCTGGAGAAGAGGATGACTCCGATGAAGAGGAAGAAGATGAGGAGACCCAGTTCCCTCATACTGGCCTTTAGGGTCTGCCCGAGGATTTGTAGCCCTTTGGAGTGTCTGGACAGCTTGAAGATCCGAAAGACCCTGACCAAGCGGATGACCCTCAGGATGGCCAGAGACATGGCCTGTTGCCCTTGCTGCTGCCCATTGCCTGCCTGTTGCTGCTGCTCTGCCAGCTCGGTGCCCAGGGTGATGAAATAGGGGGTGATGGCCACGATATCGATAATGTTCATGATGTTTCGAAAGAAGCTGGGTTTGCTGGGGGAAGCAAACAACCTGACTAGAAACTCGAAGGAAAACCAGATGATGCAGAGAGTCTCAACGATGAAGAAGGGGTCAGCAAATGTTGGGGTGTGAAAGGGCACTGTGTCATTGTTATATAGTGGTCTCCCTCCAACTGCATTCTCTTTGTCATCTCGAAAGGCAGGCAGAGTTTCAAGACAGAAGCTGACAATCGAGATGAGAATGACCATGACAGAGACGATGGCGATAACACGAGCTGGGCCTGAACTCTCAGGGTATTCAAATAGCAGCCAGATCTGGCGCTGGAACTCATTCGTGGGTAAAGGCCGCTCTTCCTCCTTAATAAAACCCTCATCCTCTCTGAACATCTCCATTGCCTCTTCCCCCAGCTCATAAAAACGTATCTCCTCGGAGAAGATATCCAGGGGTACATTGACAGGTCGACGCAGCCTCCCCCCAGATTGGTAGTAATACAGGATGGCATCAAAACTTGGACGGTTCCTATCGAAAAAATATTCATTCCTCAGAGGGTCGAAGTAGCCCATCCTCTTCTTTGGATCTCCAAGCAGGGTGTCAGGGAACTGAGCCAAGGTCCTGAGCTGAGTCTCAAAGCGAAGACCCGAGATGTTGATCACCACTCTCTCACAACACTCGTGGTCCTGTTCTGGCTCATACAGATCCTGAGGCTGAACAGGGAGTGCAGCCAATTCATCAACATTGTCTCCATGGGCCACTGTCATCTTGCTGGAGGCACCAAAACCTTCCTCAATAGCAAGTACCAACAGGAGCTGGGAGCTTGTGGTCCCTAGATACTAGGTGCCCTGATGCTGAAGGACAATGGGACTGAACTACAGGAAGCTGGAATTCTACAACTGCCTGGATTGTGACAGGAGATATCACAGAATAGTGGAGCTGATGGATCCTTAGGTTTATGAATCCTGGAGGAATCAGATTCAGGATACTGGAGAATGTATTGCTGTACTTGAACTGTTGTTACACAGATAGGAATGACTTGATTTGGCTTAATTTCCAAATTTGAGCTTTTCTGTAGCAATTTCAAAGACTATTCTCTGAAAAGGTTGCTCTGAGATGTTTCGGGAGCTGGTGAAACTGCATGCAGCTTCCCAATGTTCTGATAATGTGTGTATTGACACAGCTGACTCAGTATTCAAATCCAGAAAGGTTGGAGATCATAGCAAAACAGCAGGATTGCTCGTGTCCTGTGACATATCCTGGAACAACACAGAAAGAGAAAAGAATTAATCAGATTAACCTAAACAGATAAACCAGACAGCGAGCATAGACAACAACTGAAAAGAGGGACAGAGCTAGAGGAGAGTGAGGGAGAGACAGAGAGAGCTCAAGGAGGACGAGAGAGAGAGATCATAAGCTATAGAAGCAGTATCAGGCTTTTCAGTCCAATGAGTTTGCTCAGCCATTCAATCATGAATGATATGTTTCTCTACCCCATTCACCTTCCTTGCCCCTAAAACTCTACTAATTAAGAACCTATCTATCTCTGTCTTAAATACACTCAGTGACTTGTCCTCTACAGCCTTCTGTGGCAATGAATTCCACAGTGTCACCACCCTCTACCTGTTCCTCTTCCTGTTCCTACGTTAAATGCATCCTCCTTTGTTGTTTTATTTTACTTTCCCCTCTGTCTATGCCTCTGCTTTCCCAAAGGGAGTTGAAAGTGTTGGGTGCATAGCCTCTTGTTTTAAAGGGCTGCATTGTTGGAAATACCATTTTTTGAATAGACCATAACCCAGGGTTACGTTGTTCAAGTGAGCCTAAAACCCAACAACCAACTCAGAAAATAGAGAATTTTCTCAATGTCTTGGCCAACATTTCTCCCTTATTTGATGCAGATCATTCAGCAGAGAGCTGGCTATTAGTGAAATTAGGGAAATCAGATGACTGCCATTTTTACCCACATAGCCACTACTTCAACATCAAATTGTAGTGTCCAACCTTTCCGAAGTTCCAAAGAGAGGAAATTTTGAATTAACAATCACTACTGGACCACTGGTTCACTGATTTCCTGGGCTATGGGGGACTTTCAATCTTAACAGCAGTGCATAGGCCTGAGGCATTATTGATTTTAACAAAGACAAGGCCACTCATAGCTCAGATCTAACCAGTTACATTTGACTAATTCAACTGGGAAAATATATTAATTTGCTGATGGGCTGGAAGTTGCAGGATTTCACAAAGTTACCCAATGAATATTGATAATGGAATCAGTCTGAAGCTCTTCTCCTTATCAATAATTTACTAGAAAAATAGATGCAAAGTGGGACTTGTCGCACACTAACAATATGAAACCTGTCAGAAGATGTTGAAATGCATTCACTACTACAATTGGAACTGGGCTCTTTATTGATTTTTATTTAGTTTGCGTTTCTCACTGCCTTCTCATTAAATAAAAGAAATCTTCAATGACAGGTTTTATATTTCCAGTCACATTTTCACAGTTCTCCTCCCTAACTTGTTCCTCTTTTTCCTTTGGGTTAATGAGTCACCAGTTTCCTTGCTCACATTACAACAGGATATACTTGGGCATGAATTTGTACCAAGGGCACACACATAATTATTAAATTATAACAATGTAGCAGATAGTATATCAGTTAGCCCCTTTCAGGTACAAACTAGATAGTGTTGGGGCGTGTTGTCAGGGAGTGGGTGTTGTATCCTCTGCTCATTGGAATTGGAAAGCTGGCAGAGACATGATGAATGTGGCAGAGTCACTGTCCCACTTTCACTCTATTTCCATTTTTCTCTGGCCTTCTAGGGGAAGAGTGGAGTTATCCACCTATATCAGAGATTTTGACATCTGTAGAACTCCGTTCCATTTTGACTACTTACTGGATCAAGTATGCACTGGGATGCTCCCAATGAATCAGCACAATTGAGTTAGTTATTTGGGATCAGGAGGATTGGCTATGTAGCTCCAGACTCCACAACATAAACCCAGGTAATCCCTCTCTCAACAACTGGAATCCCAATTGGATCACACAGCCATATGATGACTAATCAAGTTGAGCAGCTCACTATGTATATACTAATGAAGCAGGCCTTCCACTTGAGCTCTTGATTGGTCAATGTCCAATAGTTAAACTCCCTCCTCTCACAAGGAACATTTCCTCCCCTCTATCATAAGGTCAGAAGTAGGGATGTTTGCTTATGATTGCACAATGTTGGGCATCATTCATGATTTCTCAGATACTGAAGCAGTCCAGATCCAATGCAGCAAGACCTGGATAATATCCAGATTTGTGCTGATAAGTGTCAAGTATGATTGACATGTCAGACAATGACCATCTCCAACAAAAGAGAGGCTAACCATTACCCCTTGACATCCAACAGTGTTACCATACTGAGCTCCCCCACTATAAACATCCTGGACTTACCATTGATCAGAAACTGAACTGGTCTAGCCATATAAATATTATGGCTACAAGACCAGGTCAGATGGAAGGAATACATCAGCAAATAGCTCGCCTCCTGACTCCCCGAAGCCTGTCCATGTTCTATACGACACAAATCAAGAGTGTGATGGAATACCCCCCACTTGCCTGGATGGGTGCAGCCCCAACAACTCAAGAAGCTTGACACCATCCAGGACAAAGCAGCCCACTTGACTGGCGCCACACCCACAAATATCCACTTCCTCCAACAACGATTCTCTGTAACAGCAATGTATACCATCTACAAGATGCAGTGAAGAAATTCACGAAAGTTATTCAAAAGCACCTTCCAAACTCGTGACTTCTACCATTGAGGACAACAACAGCAAAAACTTGGGAACACCACACCTGAAATTTTCCTTCCAAGCCATTCACCATCCTGACTTGGAAATATATTGCCTTTCCTTCACTGCCGCTGGGTCAAAATCCTGGAATTCCCTCCGTAACAGCATTTTGGGTCTACCTACAGCATTTAGTGACAGGCACTGAATGCTGGCCCAGCCAGCAACACCCACATCCTGTGAATGAATGCATAAACTATTTTTATTAACAAATGGCTGAAGCTAATTGTTCTTGAATCATAGCTCAGGTCAGTTTGAGGTCAATCTGTCTTTTCTCAAACCAAATGTCTGTGTGTCCTGAGGTAATGAGAAACTATATCTGCTACCGAGAAAAGCCACTCTTGTGTGAAAGTAGCTCTCTTTTACTGATTTTTCAGTGTAAAGCAGCAAGGTTCATGTGTGACAATGGAATTATGTTATTGTTCTTTTTTTGGGCTATACATTTCTGATACATTATCCCCACAAATCTATTTACTTGTTGGAGTCGACTGATCTCACCCAATCTTCTGCTTGAGATACCACTATGAGACACCAGGATTCAAGAGGATATTGAGTTGGACTGTGATGCCTTCTCTACTGGGATGGAGCTCAGGAGGGCGAGAGAGAGAGAAATGGAGCTTGAGCAGGGTCAACCTATTGAAATTTTCCGTGTACAGGAAGAGGCCATTTGTCCCATTGTGCCAGCTCTGATCAACAAGGAGATGTTCAACCCAATCCCTCCATTTGCAGCTCTTGGTTCATCTCCTGTAAGTTCCAGCACTTCAACAATGTTTCAAACTCTAAAGCAAACATTTTGTGATTTCTGCCTCTCCCAGGCAGCCTTTCAGGCAGTGAGATCCTGATCCTCTCTGTCCTTTGGGTGAACAACAGCTCCCTCAGATTTCCTCTGAAACTCCAAACTCTAAATCTCTGCCTCTGGTTATGGAGTCCTTAGCCAAGGGGAATATGGAAACATAGAAGGTAGGAGCAGGAGTAGGCCATTTGATCCTTAGAGCCTGTTCCGCCAATCAATATGATCATGGGTGATCATCGAGTTCAATACCTTAATCCCACCCTCCCCCCAATCTCTTGATCCCTTTGGCCACAAGATCTATATCTTCTACCTTCTTGAAAATACATAATGTTTTGGCTTCAATCACTTGTTATGATAGTGAATTCGATAGGCTCAGTACTCAGGGTGAAGAAATTTCTCCTCATCTCAGTCCTAAAAGGTTTATACCTTATCCTTAAACTATAACCCCTGGTTCTGGACTCTCCCACCATCAGGAACATCCTTTCTGCATCTAACTTGTGTAGTCCTGTTAGAATTTTGGTTTCAATGAGATCTTCCCCATCGTTTTTTGAAACTCCATTGAATACAATCCTAACTGACTCAATCTTTCCTCATGCGTCAGTGCTACCAATCAATTTGGTAAATCTTTGATTCTTCCTCAGTTAAAAAGACCAAAACTGCAGAAACTTCTGGTCCACTCAAAATTTGATCCATTTCATTTTGATCTCCTCTTGATCCGCTCTGTTCCAAGAAAAAAAACTCAAGCCTATCAAATCTTTCCTCATAACTAAAATTCTCCATGGCACCCAACATCACTCCCCCTGTACCCTCTCTAGTGCAATCACATTTTTCCTCTGGGCGTTATACAGAGAGATGGAGAGCAGAGATGGTGGTCCGGGTGCTGGGCTGGGATTGATTGGCCTGTGGGAAATGACAGACTCATTTGTAATTATGGCTTGAACCATGTGTAACTTGCTTGAGTATTATTGAAGTGATCAGGAAGTATGCAAGGCTGACTGGGGTTTTTCTACCAAAGAGTTTAAGAAATTGTCTGATAGTGACTTAGATTTGTTTGTTGACAGTACTCATTTGAGAAAACAATTGAGTAATTTCAGGGTCAAGTTATCCTGGATGACAGGAGGTGTTGCTTGGAATATGAGACCTAATTGCGCACACAGGACAGAGACCTGAGTTTGGAAGTCTCTGAGAAGAGAAGGAGAGGTGAAATGAAACCTGTGTAGTGGTTGGCTCAATTGATGTAATGTAACACAGTCTCCGAAATGTAGCTGCAGTAGCCAGAGCTGAGCTGAGGGCAGGGGACATAAAATGCTGAGATGACAGTTCTAAAAACTGAAGAAAATAAATTGTGAATTGGAACGTTACAGTTAACTGTGTTAGGGAAAGTGAAATGAGAAGCACTGAGTGAAAGTGAAAGCTTCTGTGTTTCATTTCTCTGAAGGCTGTCCTGACGGTGTGTATAATTGTTGTGACTGTAGCGCCATCCTTTGTGCACAGAGCTCGAAGCCATTTAACCCTTTGGAGGTCTTGTCTTTATTGTGATTAGGCTGTACTCTGTTTACCTTCAGTATTCATCTTCTTGAGTTTTTTGTGAGAAATTTTAATTTTTTTCATCTGAAGCAGTTGTAGAATAAAATTGCACACTTTTGAATTCATAACCCATGACAGAAATTAATATTTCAAAGTTTCATGAAGGTGTAATTGGTGAGTCTGTTCATTTGAAAGTTTATGTTTTTCACAGGAATGGATATTTGCTGAACAGTTGGAAGTTTTCTTTAAACATTTGCCACTGCTTCATATTGTCATACCTTTCAGTTGATTGACCCAGATAATCCAAGTTAGCTCTCTGCTCATACAATGTAGTTGATTTTGTTTCCATTTAAGATTCTTATTTGTGATTGGAGAGTGTTGTTTACACATTTTATGTAGAATTCAATTGCACTATGATCACTTTTTCCCAGTGGATCTTTTCTACGACATGACTAATTAATCCTACATACTAATTGATCCCTCTGTGGATTGTCACCTTGACATGATAGAGAGGCTTGCATGATCTGGCAATCCCTTGAGCTATGATGATGGAAGCTCCTTGCTCCTAGTTAGTCCACCCACGTTGGCAAGGTCATGGGCAATTGCCTGGCAAAATGTTTAAAAGTCCTCAATGGCATAACAGACAAACTCAGAAATCACACAACACCAGGTTATAGTCCAACAGGTTTATTTGAAAACACAAGGTTTCGGAGCCTCAGTCCTTCTTTAGGTGTTGAAGAGCTGAGGCTCCGAAAGTTTGTGTTTTCAAATAAACTTGTTGGACTATAACTTGGTTTAGTGTGATTCTGACTTTGCCCATCCCAGTCCAACACCAGCACCTCCACATTATAACAGACGAAGACTGAGCTTCTCACTGGCTACAAAGGTGAAAGGTGGCTGTCATGGCAAGCTGGTCCAGGTTATCATGTATCAACACTTGACCACAATCTGACCACTAACTCCGCAAGACTATGTGGGTAGTGGCGGTACCCCAAGGTCCCCACATTTGATGAAGTCATGTGTAGGCCTCTAACAAGTCCTTGACTTAATCCTCACCAATTTTCCTCCACAGATGCATCTATTCATGACAGTACCGGTAAAAGTGACCATCACAAGTCGTTGTGGAGATGAAGTCCTACCTTCATGTTAAGGGTGGCTTCCATCATGTTGTGTGGCGTTAGCACTGTGCGAAATGAGACAGACTTCAAAAAGATGGAACAGCTTATGATTGGGCCTCCATGAGGTTCTGTGGGCCATCAACAGAGACAAACTTGTACCCTAGCATAAACTATAACCTCATGGACTAGAATATTCCCAACTTCACTATTACCATCAAACCAGGGTATAAACTCCGGTTCAATGAAGAGTGCAGAAGGACACGCTAGGACCAGCACCAGGCATACCTAAAAATGGGGGGTCAACCTGGTGAAGCTACTAAACAAAATTGCTTGACAAAGAGCATAAGCAGCAAGTGATAGACAGAGCTAAGTGATTCCACAAATGATGGATCAGATTGACTCTCTGCAGTCCTGCCACATCCAGTTGTGAATGCTGGAGGGGAGACAATAGCCGAGTGGTATTATCACTGGACAGATATCCAGGTAATGTTCTGAGGACCCGAGTTTGAATCCCACCAGGGCAGATGGTGGAATTTGAATTCAATAAAAATCTAGAATTAAGAGTTTAATGATGACCATGAATCCATTTTGGAAAACCTCATCTGGTTCACAAATGCCCTTTAGGGAACAAAACTGCCATCCTTACTTAGTCTGGCCTACATGTGACTCCAGGCCCACAGCAAAGTGGTTGATTCTGAGCTGCCCTCCGAGCTGCAATTAGGGATGGGCAACAAATGCTGGGCTAGCTAGTGATACCTTCATCCTGTGAATGAATTTTAAAAATGTGTACAATTAAACAAATCACTTGAAGAGGAGGTTCCACAAATATCCCCATCCTCAATGATGTAAGAGCCTAAGACGTCAATGCAAAAGATAAGGCTGAAGCATTTGCAGCAATCTCCAACCAGAAATGATGAGTGTATGATCCATCTCGGCCTCCATCAGAGGTCCCCAGCGTCACAGATACCAGTCTTCAGTCACTTTGATTCCCTCCACATGATATTAAGAGACAGTTGGAGACTTGTGTTCCAGAATGTGCTGCAGATACTACACTGATATTCACCTGACAATGTTGAAAATTGTCCAGGTAAGTCCTGTACATAAAAAACAAGACAAATCCAACCCTGCAAATTACAGCCCCATCTGCTCTTGATCATCAGTAAAATGATGAGTTATCATCAACTGTGTGACCAAGCAATATCTGCTCAGCAATAACATGCTCAGTGACACCCAGTTTGGGTTGGGCCAGGGCCACTCAGGTCCTGACCTCATTACAGCCTTGGCTCAAACATGGACAAAAGAGCTGAATTCCAGAGATGAAGTGTGAGTGACAGTCCTTGACATCAAGGCTGCATTTGACCAAGTAAGGCATCAAGTAGCAAAACTGGAATAAATGGGTATCAGGATTCATACCTAGCACGTAGGAAGATGGTGCTGGTTGTTGGAAGTCAGGCATCTCAGCTGCAGGACATCGCTGTAGTGTTTGTCAGGTTAGTGACTTAGACACAATCATCTTCAGCTACTTCACCAATGGCTTTCCCTCCATCATAAGATCAGGGGATATTTGCCAATGATTGCACAATGTTCGGTATCATTCACGACTCCTCAGACACTGAAGCAATCTGTAAAATGCAACAAGATCTGGACAATATTCAGGCTTGGGCTGACAAGTGGCAAGTAACATTTCCATCATACAAATGCCAGGCTATGACCATCACTAATAACAGACAATGTAACCATCACCCCTTGGCATTTAATAGTGTTACAATCACTGAATCCCCCACTATTAACATCCTGGGAGTTATCATTGAACAGAAATTCAGCTGGACTCACAACATAAACACAGTGGCTACAACAGCAGGTCACAGGCTAGGAATACTGCGGTGAGTAACTCACCTCCTGAATCCCCAAAGCAACTCCAAGCGATCAATTTTCTTAAGACTTGTTCTCATGAAGGCAACAGGAGAGCATTCCATCACATTCTAGACAATTGCCTTGCATTTGATGGAAAGGTAATGCAAAGCACAAGTCAGGAACGTGAAGGAATACTCCCCGTCTGCCTGGAGGAGTACAGCTCCAACAACATTCAAGAATCTTGACACCATCCAGGACAAAGCAGCCCGCTTGATTGGCTTGACATTCACAAGCATCCACTCCTTCCACCACCAATGCTCAGTAACAGCAGTGTGTACTATCTTTAAGATGAACTGCAGCAATTCACCAAAGATCCTCAGACAACACTTCCAAGCCCCACGGCCACTTCTATTAGAAGGACAAGGACAACAGATATATGGGAACACCACCACTTTCAAGTTTCCCTCCAAGCCACTCAGATTCCTGACTTGGAAATATATTGCCGATCCTTCACTGTCGCTGGGTCAAAATCTGGAATTCTCTCCCTAATGGCATTGTGGGTCAACCCACAGCTGGTGGCCTGAAATGGTTCAAGAAGGCAGCTCACCACCACCTTCTCAAGGGGCAACTAGAGATAGGCAACAGGTGTTGGCCATCCAGCGATGCCCACATCCCAAAAATGAATAAATAAAACAGAAGTGGCATATAACATTGATACCACACGAATGCCAGACAGTAACAATTTTGAACAAAAGAGAATGTAACCTTTGCCCTTTGCTATTCCCACCACTGAGCCCCTCCAATCAATATCCTGGGGGTTACTGTTTACCAGGAACTAAACTGGACTAGCCCTATCAGTTTTATGGCTACAAGAGTAGGTCAGCAGCTAGAAATCCAGCCGTGAGTAACTCCCCAAAGCCTGTCCACCATTCACAAGGGGGAGAGGTCACCCTGACCTGTCAGTAAAGAATGACATATGGATATTTGTGAGGTAGGATCGGAAAATTAGCTAGAAACAGTTTGCTAGAGAATTAGAGTAACAAGTTTAAGAATAACTATAATAACATTTTATAGCTGCATGAACAAGAGTCATATCATTTTCTTTTTATTCATTCATGGGACGTGGACATCACTGGCTGGCTGCATTTTTTGACTGTTCCTAGCTACCCTTGAGATGGTAGTGGTGAGCTGCCTTCCCGAGCCGCTGCAGTCCATGTGCTGTAGTTTGACCCACAATGGTGGACAGGCTTTGGGGAGTCAGGAAATGAGTTACTCGCTGCAGGATCCTTGGTCTCTGACCTGCTCTTGTAGCTACAGTACTGATTTGACTAGTCTAGTTCAGTTTTTGAGCAATGGTAACACCCAGGATTTTGATAGTGGGGGATTCAGTGACGGTAACACCATTGAATGTCAAAGGACAATGATTAGATATTTCTTATTGGAGATGGTTATTGCCTGACAGATGCGTTGCATGAATGTTATTTACCACTCGTCAGCCCAAGGTTGAAAGTAAAGTAGCAGGGGGATTAGCACCAACACACAGTGGAAAAGAGAAATAAGGTACCCAAAGCAGTGAGAAATTTGGATAATAGGGGAGAAAGTGATACCATATTAGATAGGAACAGATTAAAGATGACACAGAAATTCAAAGACTGGCAGTGCCTATTGGGATCAAGGAGGACGGTATATATGTGGACGTTCAGAGAAAGGCTGGAATACTTCAGGAAAGGTGCTTACTAACAAGGACTGTGCACTGGGTTGTGAGCCTGATTTGAAATTGAATGTAAATGTTCTGGCTTCCATGTAAAGTTACAACCAACGAAGTCAGAACTGAAGGAGTTGGGGTAAATAGCAGGGAAGATGACGAAGTGTTGGACTGAACTGAAAGATAAACAGCATAGAAAGAGGTGGAACAATCCCTCTTCCGTACCTACACTGGCCCTAAACCCCACCTCTTCCTCTGTTACATTGATGACTGAATTGGCGCTGCCTCGTGCTACCACGTGGAGCTCGAACAGTTCATCCACTTCACCAACACCTTCCACCCCAATCTTATGTTCACCTGGACCATCTCTAACACCTCTCTCACCTTACTGGACCTCTTTGTCTCCATCTCGGGCAACCACCTAGAAACTGATATCCATTTCAAGCCCACCGACTCCCACAGTTACCTAGAATACACCTCCTCCCACCCACCTTCCTGCAAAATGCCATCCCCTATTCCCAATTTCTTCGCCTCCGCCGCATCTGCTCCCAGGATGAGGCATTCCACTCCCGTACATCTCAGATGTCCTCGTTTTTCAAGGACCGCAACATCCCCCCCTCAGTGGTCAAGAATGCCCTCGACCGTATCTCCCGCATTTCCCGCAACTCATCCCTCACACCCCGTCCCCGCAATAACAACCAAAAAAGAATCCCCCTCGTCCTCACGTACCACCCCACCAACCTCCGGATCCAATGCATCATCCTCCGACACTTCCGCCATCTGCAATCCGACCCCACCACCAAAGACATTTTTCCCTTCCCACCCTTATCTGCTTTCCGGAGGGATCACTCTCTCTGTGACTCTCTTGTCCGCTCCACACTCCCGTCCAGCCCCACCACACCCGGCACTTTTCCCTGCAACCGCAGGAAGTGCTACACCTGCCTCCACACCTCCTTCCTCAACCCCATCCCAAGCCCCAACAAGACTTTCCACATCAAGCAGATGTTCACCTGCACATCTGCTAATGTGGTGTACTGCATCCGCTGTACCCGTTGTGGTCTCCTCTACATCGGGGAAACCAAGTGGAGGCTTGGGGACCACTTTGCAGAACACCTACGCTCGGTTCGCAATAAACAACTGCACCTCCCAGTTGTGAACCATTTCAACTCCCCCTCCCATTCCTCAGACGACATGTCCATCCTGGGCCTCCTGCAGTGCCACAACGATGCCACCCGAAGGTTGCAGGAACAGCAACTCATATTCCGCTTGGGAACCCTGCAGCCCAATGGTATCAATGTGGATTTCACAAGCTTCAAAATCTCCCCTCCCCCTACCGCATCCCAAAACCAGCCCAGCTCGTCCCCGCCTCCCTAACCTGTTCTTCCTCCCACCTATCCCCTCCTCCCACCTCAAGTCACACCCCCATTTCCTACCTACTAACCTCATCCCGTCCCCTTGACCTGTCCGTCCTCCCTGGACTGACCTATCTCGTCCCTACCTCCCCACCTACACTCACCTTTATTGGCTCCATCCCCGCCTCTTTGACCTGTCTGTTTCCTCTCCACCTATCTTCTCCTCTATCCATCTTCTATCCGCCTCCCCCTCTCTCCCTATTTATTTCAGAACTCCCTTCCCCTTCCCCATTTCTGATGAAGGGTCTAGGCCCAAAATGTCAGCCTTCCTGCTCCTATGATGCTGCTTGGCCTGCTGTGTTCATCCAGCTCTACACCTTGTTATCTTAGAAAGAGGTGGACTGCCTTTTGTTCTTTATGATAGTGTTGATGCCTCAAAATAGATCCAGAAACATTTGAGGCATCGAACCAAGACCATCTGAGACAGAATTTAATTCACAAGATGTGGTGCATTATAAAGGAAAGGATCGTATGGAATGGAAAAACTCTGGTGAGATAGTAATGATAGTAACCCAGAAGGAAAGACGAGCAAAACTTGTAAATGATACATCTTATAAACATCTGACTCATCTTGTATACCTCAAAATGAAATTCCAATATGACCAGTACATTCATTTTATCCCTCTGGGAAGGCAGTACTTATGAACAATTAAGCAGTTACTGTTCATCCATCATGATTAATTGGAATTAATGACAAAATCTTGGATTATAAGTAGATTGTACTTCAAATGCTCATTAATCCTTGTGACAAAGGTTTTCAGGAACAGAATGCAGTTGACCAAGGTCTACATAGTGGTAATATGACTAATCATGAGACATGTGACTGAGCTACCACAGGCACAAGTCAATTCTCCAGACTGGGAACTTGAGTGGCATATATTTCAAAGAGATCTAGTGAACGGAGAGCCAGAACAATGACAGGACATGCAAGAAAAGCCACTAGCAAGTTTTAAATGTTTAGAATGTTTGGGATGATTATCAAGAAGAAAATGCAGATGGCAGCATGTGGTTAAGGAATAACAAAGTCCAGTGTGATGGTAGGTGATTCTATATAAGAAAATAATCATTTAACAGAGACAGACTCTGAACATGCATGCAATAACTGTTCTGAAACACATAATGTGAAAGGAGAGCCCATAGCCTGAATAAAGAAGAGAATGAAATAATGGCAGTAGAACAGTTTGGGATCAGGACTCGGAGCTGAGTTCTTCAACCTTTGGTGGCTATTAGTAAACTTGAGAATAAACGGATGTGACACCCAAAACAAGTGGATTTAGATAGTTGGGGAGCATTTGCAGTTGATTCTGGAGATCTCACAATGGAATTGTACTGAACAAGTGATTGAAGATGTGACTTGGGAGCTTTCATAGAATCCCCACAGTGCAGAATCAGGCCATTTGGCCCATCAAGTCCACACTGACCTCCAAAAATCATCTCACCCAGACTTTCCACCTAGCCTATAACCCTGCATTTCCCATAGCTAATCACCTAACCTACACATCCCTGGAGACTATGGGCAATTTAGCATGGCCAATCCACCTAAACTGCG